ATGGGTGCATGTAGCTGCAAGTGAGGCTAGAAAATGTGGACATTTAGTACTATTCATAGCTACTATAAATAAAAATTTTCTATTGCCAAATAAGAAGTGGAAGATGGATTATGTCAGTTATCTCTGTTATCATCATTTATAGGATTATCTTCAAATATGCAAGACAGCATGTGGACTGAACCTTATAATTCATCACTCTAAGAATTCTATTTTCTCTTCCAAATGTTGTAATTGAAAATTAAGAATGATGTGCCTAAAAAGGCTAATTATTTAAATTGAAAACAATTTCTGATATGAAACAATAATTTCATTAATACTGAGTTAGGGCCTGGCACGATGGCTCACTCCTGTAATCCCAGAACTTTGGGAGGCCAAGGTGGGTGGATCACCTGAGGTGAGGAGTTTGACACCACCCTGGCCAACATGGTGAAACCCTGTTTCTACTAAAAATATAAAAATTAGCTGGGAGCCGGGCGTGGTGGCTCAAGCCTGTAATCCCAGCACTTTGGGAGGCCGAGGCGGGTGGATCACGAGGTCAAGAGATCGAGACCATCCTGGTCAACATGGTGAAACCCCGTCTCTACTAAAAATACAAAAATTAGCTGGGCATGGTGGTGCACGCCTGTAATCCCAGCCACTAAGGAGGCTGAGGCAGGAGAATTGCCTGAACCCAGGAGGTGGAGGTTGCGGTGAGCCGAGATCGCGCCATTGCACTCCAGCCTGGGCAACAAGAGCGAAACTCAGTCTCAAAAAAAAAAAAAAAAAAAAAAATTAGCTGGGAGCAGTGGCCAGCACCTATAATCTCAGCTACTAGGGAGGATGAGGCAGGAGAATAACCTGAACTTGGGAGGTGGAAGTTGCAGTGAACCCAGATTGTGCCACTGCACTCCAGCCTGGTTGACACGGTGAGACTCCACCTCAAAAAAAAAAGAGTTAGGATACCATATCAAGGATATTTAAAAACATTGCCATATAATATCCATGGCTTTGGATAGAGTAAGCCCAATTCATGGAATTATTAACAGGAGGGAGTGGCTATGCCTACAGGAAGGAAAGCAGGGTAGGGCTCCTGGGAATTTGCTCTTCTAATCTATCTTTTGATGGAGTTACTGGAGTGAGATTGAGGAAAACACAGGGTGATTTAAGTTAAGAAATTAGAAAATGATTAAAAATGAGACTCAAAGGTCTGGGAATTATAAAAGTCGTTAGTCTTCAAAGAAAAAATATGTCCCAATATTGCTTACAAAAATCAGAAGTAATTCTGTCATTAGACAATTACTCTAGGATTGTAAAGTGTAAAAATAAAATAATTATCTAAGGAAGTCTACCAAAACCCTTGGTATTATCTGAATTATTTGAAGAATTGAGGTAAAAGTGGACTTTCTGCCTGAATTATCCAGATAATTGTCTTAATTCTAAACTTCACTTAGCTAGCTGGTAGAGACCTTTCTATAGGATATATTTTTGGGAAGCTAAATGCTAAAAGAAAATGGACTCCTAAAGTATGCAGAGTTGTGGTATAATGAGGGTGTATGGGGGTGATAGAGAGATGGGGAGGGAAAGAGAGAGAAAGGAGGAAAGAGAAAAAGGGAGAGAATGGTAAGTAGCTAATTGTCAGAATAAGATTAAATTTTTCTTCCTATTATTTGATAGTAACCAATGTCTACATTTTCATCAATAATGAACTTTTTATAAAAAGGGAGATACATATGTAGATTTCAAATATAATCCATAGTTTTTTACAAAGTTATAAAATCCTTTTTAAGCTTTAAAAATATAACTTAAATATAACTTTTTACTTTGTAAGGTTTAGAAATTTCATGCCCTCAAATCAAGCCATTTAATTTGTATAGTGAAGCAAATTGACTTAAAAATTATACTATACTTTCCATTTTACTTCATTTTGTTGGTCCTTGCCTTTTCATTCTTAAAGACAAAAAAACAAAACAAAACAAAACAAAAGCGAATGATGACATCCTAGTTGCTACTCTATCCTCTTCTTCACTGGTAATAGGACCCAGGACAGTAAGCCCAGCCCCTAGATTACTTGTCAGCCTTCCCCACAGCTGAGTGTGTCATGTGACTAAGTTCTGGCCCATAAATGGAAGTGTTGTGTGAGACTTCTGGATAGGTTCCCTCTTTTCTGGATTCCTTCAGACCTACAATGCAGACAAGGTGCCTCAATCTCCAGCAGCCATTTTGAGTCAGAGGGCTACCTTAACAATGGAAGCCTCACACTAGGATGGTGAAAGAGAAAGGTAGCAGGAACCTGAATCCTTGATGACTCTGAAGCTACTACACATCCTTGGGGATGCTCCCTCTGCATTTCTTAAGAGATGTAAAAATGTCTGTCTTGCTGAAGATACTATTATTTCTAGTTACTATTACTACCAGGCGAACACAATTCCTAAATGTTACATGTATTAAGGTATTAATTAAAATATTTTGTGATTTTTAGGATTAAATTTCTAGATATACGTAATAACTTTTTCCTTACCCTGCCACATATAAACATACAAACATGCATTCCAATTTGTTAGAAAGATAACTGATTATGTGAGGTTGTACCAGTGACATATTTTGTGCAATTGCAAAGGATAATACTTTTATAATGTGAATTATGGGAAAATAAGAATTTGAGCATTACTTAATAATTTTTCAATGTCCTACATGCACACACAAAAAAACAATAGAGAGGAAGAAGAGAAAATACAGAAATGGAATTCAGCAACAGAATATTAATTTTTTTTTAGCTTTTGCAATTAATAGCAAGAAAGGAAGGAAAGATCAATCTATAGAGCAGTCAGATGGAATTGTGAAGATTAATCATTCTCTTCCTTCAGAAGTTGCCCTAATTCTTTCTGTCTTAAGATCCAGCTCTTTTATAAGGCCTTCACCAGTCTCTCAGTAGGAATTAACCTCTGTTCTTTATGCATTTATCAAGACTAGGACTAAGCTACAGTGGGTGAGGTGTTTGTCTTGGGTACAAAATTTAAAACTCAGTAATCAAGATAAATATTTTAATGGAATATTTTAATTGGCAAACTAAGGCATGCAGGCCAGTCTCCTGTTTCTGTAAATAAATTTTTAATTATGCTTTGCTTTTATCTGTATTACAGTACTCAAATAGTGCTTTTTATGATCATCCTCTCCCAACAGGGCTGTACTCATTTTCGTATTCCTCACGTGCCCACTACTCTGTTTTAAGCATAAAGTCCTCTTAAAAAAAAATCTCGCATTGAGTTGATTAAAGGATTTTTGTGAGGCTATATTGTTCTAGTGATGGTGGGGTTCAATCACTAAATTCAACTCTAGCCAAAGCATAACAGAATGATGACCATTTTGAAAGTACTTATAATTTAGCACTGTGCGAAAAATCACTTGGCTTGTCTTTCACTAAAACCCTGCTGAGCTTAGGGAGATAGAGAATTGTAATATTACATTATGTTCATATAGAACTTTTTCCTACATGAAGGGCTTTCTTTTAATCCTCACCACAGTCCTGTAAGGTCAGTATTGCTATCCTTATTTATTGTGGAGAGATTGAGAAGTGAGGTGATTTGCCCTGGGAGTTATGGGCAAAAAGAGGCAGAGCTGGGGTTCTAACCCAGATTTTGTCCATTACAATTGAATGCCCTTTCTGCTGTTAAAAATCTTAAATCTGGAGTTGAATGAGACACGATTTATACAGCAACTGCAACAGCATTCTCATCATTAAAACGTCCTGACTGTGTGTGTGTGTGAAGTAGCTGAACTCTTCAAGCAGAGGGTTGGATGTTTTATGGCATTTCTTGGTAGATGGCAGGAACCTATATATCGAAAAGCAGAAGATGAAATGATATATTATTTGAATATTACTTTCTCAAGGGTGCCTAGGCATTGAGGTGGCAAGAGACTTATTTGCTTCTTTCAAAGGATTTCTAAAGGAAGTCTGAGGACTTACAAGAGGTCTTTAAAGATGCAAAGTGGTGTGTTCTTCTTTAACTGTCCCTACCAGGAATGAACTGAAGAGTCTGGATTTTAGAGCTTGGTGTCTAATCCTGCTTTGCAACTATGCTTTCTAACTATGTATATGATATTCTGCAAAGTGAGTAAACCGAAGGTTTGCTTCTTTATGAAAAGAAACATTTGGGAAGCTATTTAAACTTTTCAGCTGAGAAAGGTTATGTCAACGTGAGATATTATAGTACTCAAGAGTTAGGAGTTGATTGAATTTAACGGGTTTCCTTTTCATATTTAGGGAAAAATCTACGACTATTTTTAAAACTCTGTATGACAATTAAATTTGAGAGCCTATAACTACTTCACATAGAATTTCCATGAGTATACAATAAACACATAATCAAAACCTCAAATATCCATTATTAGCCAGTCTAGTAGACAATGTTTTATAATTATAGATTCCCCCATTGATAGATGTCCAGAGAAAAACTGCAGTCTACTTTTACTAAGCTGATAGCTGAGTTCCTAGGAAATCCTCACCCCTGAGAACAAATAATCCTCAAAGAAATTCAGAGGCATTCATTCTGGTGAATTGCAATCAGTCATCAATAACTATTTATGGAATATCTGCAGGGTGCCTAAGCATTGAAGTGGCAAGAGACTTATTGGCTTCTTTCAAAGGATTTCTAAAGAAAGTCTGAAGACTTACAAGACGTCTTTAAAGATGCAAAGTGCTGTGTTCTTCTTTAACTGTCCCTACCAGGAATGAACTGAAGAGTCTGGATTTTAGAGCTTGGTGTCTAATCCCGCTTTGCAAGCGAAGACTCCACTGGTGCCAAGCGACAGACGGGCTGGTGGGCAGACATGGCACCACCACCGGGGGCTTCAGGACTGGTCCAGCCCTCCCCGGGCAGGTGCAGGGCTGACTGCAGCAACAGCGGCCCTGACCCCCGCCCCCATGGCTCCCCTCCCCCCGCACTCCCACCCCCCGCACCCGGCACACACCATCTCCCAGTCGCCCAGTCTCGATCGGTTCTCGCGAGATCCGGGCTACTGAGCGCTCGGGGCCTTTTCAAATCGGGATCCGTTACCGCTTCCCGGGCAGCCGCCATTGTCGCGCTCGGAGCCCCTCAGCGCAGGCGGCCGAGGCGGAGGCAGCGGCGGTGGGATGGCGGACGCCGACAAGGCCGAGGTGCCCGGGGCCACTGGCGGCGACAGCCCGCACCTGCAGCCCACGGATCCGCCGGGCGAGCCGCGGCGAGAGCCGCACCCCCCGGAGGCGGAGAAGCAGCAGCCGCAGCACAGCAGCAGCTCCAATGGCGTTAAAATGTATTGTCTTTTCCTCCCGGGACCGGGGCGAGATGGGGAGCGGGGAGTCAACCCGGGGGTCAGAGGCGGGGCTGAGCCTTGATGGGGGACAACCGCCCCCCCCCTCCGGCCCTGGCCTGCCCCCGGGCCATCGGCTGCACGAAGAGCAGGTGCAGCTGGGCCGCTCCCAGGCCCTTCCCCGCCCGCCCCCGGCCTGGCCGCCTGCGGCCCCGGGAGCCTGGGCTGGGGACCCGGGGACCGGCGCGCCTCCCTGGTTTCTAGCCCGGGACAGCGGACATCCGCTTTCCCCTGACTTTAAAGAACCTTTGGGCAAAGCTCGGCAACCGCCACGGTTTGCAAGAAAATGGTCACCCTATAAGGGCCAGTATTTAGTGTTCATCACTAGAGAGTATCTAGGGATGACATCATCGGACATTTCCTCTTGACCACCGAGAACGTATTTAAAAGGAATATCCCTGGCTTCTTCCTGAGATTCACAAGTTTAGTGTTTTGTTGCTTTGTAAAGTGTATGTTCATTTTTAAACTGGTTTTTACTGAGAGGAAGTTTAATAATGTGCTGTTAGACTGTATCCATTGTGTTACTCTGGAATTGGCTAGACGTACTTTAAAAAGGGAAATGTGTGATGCGGGTGGCTTCCCTTTCCACTGGATAATGTGCGTCAGCTGTGCAGAGTATTTTTTTTTTTTTAAACTCAGTGTGTGATTATCTTAATTTTGGTATAATAGATGGTTAAGATTTTTTTTTTTCCTAAATGAAGTAAAACTTTTAAGGTTGCAGCTGTCATCAGGGCCTATAAGGAATTTAGTTGACCCCAATCCATAATAATTTCTAGCTCTAGGGAAATGTTATGCTCCCCTTTGTTCTTGTCCTGTGGGAGGAGATGAAGTTAAGCGCTTACTTTCATATGCCTACCTCCTTAAACCTGAAGTTGAAAGTATGTTACTAATTTAGTGAAAACATCCTTTTCCTTCTCTGCTATGCCTCAGAGCAGAAAGCAATAGACATAGGCTCACAGTAAAATAGGCAAGGGAAAAAAGTTTTTCTGACCTTTGCATAAAAATGTTTGAAACAGTATTGTAAAACCTGGACCAGTCTGTGTAAAAGTTGGTGGTAGATAAGATGGGGTAGCTCTCCCCAGCTCTGTGACACTCTTGCTCTCAAATGAGTTTGAATATGATCAGCAGCAGCTTTTAGAATAGAGGTGCAGGTATAAGAGATTGGAACTTAGTGGAGTTTGTTCCTGGATGAAAAGTGGCGCGCTTCAGTACTTGAGGAACCAGAAGGTGAATGAAGCGCTTTCTACCATGCTTGTCAAAAATGTGGGCTTTCGGGGATATGGCATTAAAAATTGAAATGAAAACGGTGGAATGATAAATTTAAAAATATGTGCTATTAGTTCATGTTTAAACACGAGTGTACATGCCACCTTTTCTCCTGAACAAAAAGTGCAGCCTTGAATTACAGAGAGAAGCCCTCCTAAACTTGAGTATGATTAGTGTTAATACAGGGGAAGTTTGGTATCTAAACCTCCATCAGATTCTCCAGTCCCTTCTAAAGTTTAATCGTGGTTTAGCAAGACTGAAAAAGAGAGAGGAGAAAGGTAGAGAAAGAATCCTTTTCTAATTTTGGAAGAGAAAAATATAAGGTGAGGAAATGAACAAATATTACTGGTAAATACAGGTTATTTCCATATTGCTTATAATTCACCTCTTTCCCTTTCTCTTTTTCTAGAAATTGACTTGAGTCTGGTTTATTCTCAGGGATTTCTTAGACTGTCTATTCCATAAGAACATATATGATGGTCCAGCATGGGTCATTCAAACTGAATAACTAGGGACCTAGATCTTTTTTTTTTTTTTTTTTTTTTTTGACTACATGAACTAGTAGGAGTAGATAACCCCAATACATAAACCTTGGGTTGATTACTGTATACTTTTAATAAAAATAATTCATTGTTGATTATGAAAATTACCATAATATTGCCCTAAATCATATATTGCTTGGAATCGAACAGAGTACTGCTTGTCATCAGGATTGAAATAACATTTGCTGATGTTAATCCATAGTTACTGAGGGTGGGAGACTACTATGTCTTATTCTTCTTTATGTTCTTAAGGCCTAGTAAATGTTTGTTGAAGAATTGCAGAAGTGAACTTTTATACGTATGAAACTCATATATAGAGAATTTAGTTTGCTTATTCAAACCTTTAGAAAAGATCTGTTTTCCTAGCTGTAGTCTTTTTTAATGCCACATGGTATACTAGCTGTCCTTTTCTTCAAAATGAATAGGAGGGAAAAGAGCAGTGTTTTTATAACTTCATTAATCATGTGTAATTAATTAAAACTTTTGAGTGTATAGTGATTGAGTATTAGGGTACTATAAAATATTAAGCATTGGAGCAAGGTAATGCGTTCTTTAACTGAGTGATATTTATCATATTAGGAACAAAGACTAGAACTGGGCTTGATTTTTACCCCCAGCTTTATTGAGGTAAATTGATGAAAATTGTATATTTTAAAGTGTACAATGTGATATTTTGTTATACAAATAAATTGTGAAATGATTACCATAATCAAGCTAAATAACATGCCCATTACCCCACATAATTACCATATTTTTTGGTGTTGCAAATACTTAAGATCTACTCTCTAAGCAAATTTCAAGTATATGGTAAATACATTATGTTAACTATAGTCACTACACTGTACCTTAGATCTACAGAACTTACTCATCTTATAACTGAAAGTTTGTGTCCTTAGGATATCTCTCTATCCCCTGCTGCCCTTCACCTCTGGCAAACACCCTTCTACTCTCTGCTTCCAAGTTTGACATTTTTAGAGTCTGTGTATAAGGGAGATCATGCAGTATTTATCTTTCTGCATCTGGCTTTTTTCACTTAGCGTAATGTCCTTTAGGTTTATCTCTGTTGTTGCAAATGGCAAGATTTTGTTCTTTTTGTAAGGCTGAATAATAATATTCCAGTGTGGATGTGTTGTATATATACAACAGATAATATATATCATGTTTTCTTTAACCATTTATCTGTCAATGGGCACTTAGGTTGTTTCCATGTCTTGGCCATTGTGAATGATGCAGTGAACATGGGAGTGCAAATATCTCTTTGAGATAGTGATTTTATTTTCCTTGGATGTATGCCCAGATGTGGCATTGATAAATCATATGGTAGTTCTGTTTTTAATTTTTTGGGGACCCTTGATGTTGTTTTTCATGATGTCTGTACCAATGTATATTCCCACAGCAGTATCTAAGGGTTCTTTCTCCACATCTTCAGCAATACTTGTTATCTTTTGACTTTTTGATAATAGTTATCCTAACAGGTATGAAGTGATATTGCATTGTGGTTTTGAGTTGTATTTCCCTGATGATTAGTGATATTGAGCACCTTTTCATGTACCTTTTGGCCATTGGTATGTCTTTGGAAAAATATCTATTTGGGTCCTTTTCTCATTTTTTCATTTGGGTTGCTATTGAGTTGTATGAGTACCTTATGCATTTTTAATATTAATCCTTTATCAGATATATGATTTGCAAATGTTTTCTCTCATTGCTTAGGTTGCCTTTTTATTTTGTTGATTGTTTCCTTTGCTGTGCAATAACTTTTTACTTTGATATAGTCCCAATTGTTTACTCTTGTGTTGTCTGTACTTTTGGTGTCACATAAAAAAAAAAATCATTGCCACCACCAGGGTCATGGAGCTTTTCTCTTGTGTTTTCTTCTAGGAGAAAATGGATTAAAAATTTAAAACAGAACACCTAAAACCATGTAACTACATGTGTTTTTTGGTTTATGTGGATATCTAGTTTTGCCAATACAATTTTTTTGAAGAGACTGTCCTTTCTCCATTGTGTATTTTTGGTGCCTTTGTCAAAGATTAGTTTACCATATACTTGGGGATGTATTTTTGAGTGTTCTGTTATGTTCCATTGGTCTGAGTGTCTGTTTTTGTGCCAGTACCATATTATTTTGATTACTGTAGATTTGTAATGTAACTTGAATCAGGTAGTGTGATGCTTTTAGCTTTATCTTCTTGTTCAAGATTGCTTTAGCTGTTTGAGATCTTCTATAGTTCATATGGACTTCAGGAATTTTTCCATTTCTGTGAAAAATGCCGTTTGAATTTTGATAGAGATCACAAGGTCATTTTGACTATAAAGGACATTTTGAGAATATTAATTCCTGTGATCTGTGAATATGGAATATCTTTCATTAGTATTATTTTTAGTTTCTTTCATCATTGTTTCATAGGTTTTCAGTGTATAGCTCTTTAGCTTCCTTGGTTAAATTTATTTCTAGGTATTTTATTCTTTTTGATGCTATTTTAAATGAAATTGTGTTCTTTATTTTTTTAGATAGTTCATTATTAGTGTGTAGATATGCAATGGATTTCTGAATGTTGACTTGTATCCTATAACTTTGCTGAATTTATTCTAATGGTTTTTTTTGTGGTGTCTTTAAAATTTTCTCTGAATAATTTTCTATATAAGATCACATCTTCTGCAAACAGAGATAATTTTACTTCTTTCTCTCCAATTTGGTTGCCTTTTTTTGCCTAATTGCTCTGACTGTGACCTTTAGTACAATGTTGAATAGAAGTGGTAAGCATGGACATCTTCTCTTTTTCCTGCTCTTAGAGGTAAAGCCTTCAACTTTTCACTGTTAAGTATGACATTAGCTATGGGATTGTCATATATGACCTTTATTGTGTTGAGGAACATTCCTTCTGTACTAAATTCGTTGATAGTTTTTATCTTGAAAGGCTGTTGAATTTTGTCAAAAGCTTTTTCTGGATCTATTGAGATGATCATTTGATTTTTAAAAATCCTTCATTCTGTTAATGTGGTATATAACATTTATTGATGTATGTATGTCATCCTTGTATCCCTGGGATAGATACCACTTGATTATGATGTGTGATCCTTCTAATGTGCTATTGAATTTAGCTTGCTAGTATTTTGTTGAGAATTTTTCATCTGTGTTCATCAGGGCTATTGCCTGTAATTTTCTTTTCTTGTAGGATCCTTGTCTGGCTTTGTTATGAGGGTAATCTTGGCCTTATCAAATAATTTGAAAGAATTTCCTCATGTTCAGTTTTTTTTGGAAGAGTTTGAGCAGCATTGGTATTAGTTCTTAAATGTTTGGTAGAATTTACCAGTGAAACTATCAGTTCCCGGGCTTTTCTTTGTTGGGAGATTTTTGATTACTGTCTCTATCTCCTTTGTTATTGGACTGTTCAGATTTTCTAATTTTTCATGATTCAGTCTTGGTGAGTTGTATGTTTCCAGGAATTTATTAATTTCTTCTAAATATAACAATTTGTTGGTGTATAATTGGTGATAGTAATTTCTTATGATCCTCTGTATTTCTGTGGTATCTGTTATAATGTCTCCTCTTTGATTTCTTTATATATTTTTTCTTCTTTGATTTGATTGTTCTTTTTCCCTCTTAGTCTAGCTTAATCTTTTGTCAGTTTTGCTTGTCTTCAAAAACCAACTTAGTTTTATTGATCTTTTCTATGGTTTTTCCAGTATATTTCATTTATTTTTGCCCTGATTTTTGTTATTTTCTTTTTTCTACTAACTTTGGACTTAGTTATTTTTTCTGGTTCCCTGAAGTATAAGGTTAGGTTGTTGGAGATCTTCTTTTTTTATTTTTGAGACAGAGTCTTGCTCTGTTTTTTTTTTAAAAAAAGGACAATAGTGTGATCTTGGCTCACTGTACCTTTTGCCTCCCAGATTCAAGCGATTCCTTTGCCTCAGCCTCCTGTGTAGCTGGGATTACAGGCATGCATCACTACGCCTGGCTAATTTTTGTATTTTTAGTAGAGACGGGGTTTCACCATGTTGACTAGGCTGGTCTCATACTCCTGACCTCAAGTGATCCACCTGCCTTGGCCTCCCATAGTGCTAGGATTACAGTTGTTATCCACCGCACTTGGCTTGGAGGTCTTTTGTTTCTTAATGTAGGCATTTATTGCTCTGAACTGCCCTCTGGTAGTTTTCCTCTGGAACTGGGATTAATACTGGATCTCAGACTATACCATTGTACTTTTAAAATCACACATTAAAATTGAATTTCTTCTTTTGATATTGGATGTTGATTTTTTTCAGAAATTTATGTTATAATTTAGATAGGCATAGTTTGATTTTAAGAATAGATAACATTTTTCTGGCTATTGTAGAGTTTTTAGGTACATTGTAAAAGTGGTTGTCTAAATGAATAGTTTGGGAATTTAGCGGATGGAATTCTGAATGTAGTACCAATATTTTGGAATTTTGTTGCATCATTTCCTTAAGAGTTTTCACATTGTAGTTTTACTTTCTCTTCCAAAGTATTTATGACTTAGAAATAGTTCAGAACTAAAATAATTATGGCTCAGTTTCTTAATAATTAAGATCATCCCTGTAGCCTCTAAACTGATATGACTTTTATAATTTTTTTTTCTTTTTTGTTATACACTGGGAAGATACAAGATAAATTTTAATTAGTACATCATAGATGAGCAGTTTAGCATTATTTTTAAGATGCTTCTAATTGGGGAAAATGAAGAAATTGCTTTCTCTGATCATCTTTGAGTAAATATTTTAAAGAAGATATTATATATAAAGTTACTGTTTTTTAATGGAATTTTCAGATTGTTGTAAGCAAATATTTACAACTTCTATGTAACCTCACCCAAGTCAAGCATAGAACATTGTAAGTACTTCAGAGCTTTGTGTAATTTTCACAATTGGTTTCATCCAGCAAGAAAATAGTCAGAGGAAGGGGTATTTATCTAGAGACTATATAGCTATCTGCTTACTGAATAGAGTCTTAGTTACTTTACAAACATTCATTGAATTCATCTAAGCCTATTATATAAACAGGCACTTTGGGAAATTGAAAAAAAAGGTTTGTTCTTCCATCTGCTGTACCCAGAAACCAGAGAAAATGCCTTTGTGCCTTTTGGCTGCTTACTGCCATTTTCAAAAGTGCCGCTCTGTTCAGACAGGTAGGTACTTTCTAGAGTTAGACAGTTCAGAAGACTCCCCGCTAGGCTATGCCATTTCCGATGAAGGAATGTGTTTGATAGTGAAGATGTCCCTTTCAAGGTCTAAAAAAAAGATGGCAGAGCAAGTTTGGCCCAAAGTCTCTTTCTTTCTTCTAGCAGTTTTTCTGGCAACATCTGTGCTCAGATGAGTATGGATTCCTTTTTTTTTTTTTTTCATTGAGTTCTTCTTTTAAATATACTTTAAGTTCTGGGGTACATGTGCAGATTGTGCAGGATTGTTACATAGGTATACACATGCCATGGTGGTTTGCTGCATCCATCCTCCCATCATCTACATTAGGTATTTCTCCTGATGTTATCCCTTTTTATTGACTGTTAATTCATTCAAAAATCACAGCACAGTGTTATACGCATTCACTATTCGAGGTGCTGCTGATACCAAAGCAGATAGTTTTTGCTCTCATAGATGTCAAAGCAGATACTTTTGGTTCTCATAGAGTTTACCTACTGTATTTGTGGCTGTGTTACCTACAAAGAAGAGTAGTGTTCATGAAGTTCACTGTATTATGTAACAAATGACTGCTAAAGTTAGAGATATGTGTGGAGCATTGCAATGTGTGGATCAACAGAATTGCTTGGCTTAGAAGACTGTTTAGAGCCTGGCTCATTAAACTTGGTTTGTTGTCAGAATAACCCAGAAAGCTTAAAAAAAATTTAGATTGCTAGGTGTCATCCCCAGTGATTTTATTAGTAATGTTTGTGAAAAATTGCTTTAAAATGGAAGTTTTGTTATTAAAATAGTTTTAAATTGACTAGAGCGCTTACTTATTTAAAAGAAACCTATTTACTGGGTGTGGTAGCTCATGCCTGTAATCCCAGCACTTTGGGAGGCTGAGGCCGGCGGATCACCTGAGGTCAGGAGTTCGAGACCAGGTTGGGCAGCATAGTGAAACCCCGTCTTTACTAAAAATACAAAAAATAGCTGGGTATGGTGGTGTATACCTATAATCCTAGTTATTTGAGAGGCTGAGGCAGGAGAATTGCTTGAACCCAGGAGGCAGAGGTCGCAGTGAGCCAAGATCTCACCACTGTACTCCAGCCTGAGACAGAATGAGACTCTATCTCAAAAAAAAAAAAAAAGAAAAAATCTATTGTTTGTTTTGTAAAAAAAGACTCATCTTGAAAAGTAAATTGCATTTTAAAATATAAATTCGGATTTTTATCTATAGGATTAAGTGGATGCCTACATCTTTTGGATGGTTGGCATATGACATCATAGAGTTGCATTGTCATTACAGTGTTATAAATTAAATTTTTTCTAGTTAAGGCCTCATTAAAAATCAGGTTTATAAACTTTTGGCTTACATTGCTTTTGTGTAATGCTTCTCTCCCACATTACCCATTCTAGGTAATATTATTAATGAAACTATTCTAGTTTATAGGTTAAAATGTAACATAAACTATTAGGATATTTTATAAATTTTCTGTATTGATCAAAATTGGGAATAGAAAAAAGTTTGAGAGCTGTAATTTGAGCATATACGTATATAGATGTGGCTATTTAGACATGTTTGTATTTTAATTATGCTTCTAATTAAGGGAGGAGAAAGTTCTGGGAAGAAACTATTAATCTTTAAGAGATGAACTTTTTCAGAGTATCATTGTGTAAGTTAGTTTTTAAAGAAGTTTTGAATGATGCCCAGAAAGTTAATTCTCCATTAAAGGTGGCAGTTTTAGATAACCTTAGAGGTAAAATTATCTGCTCTCCCCTCTATTCCAGTCTAATAGCATTTATTAAGTAAGTAGTGTGACAGGAAAAACTAGGTGATTGTTTAGATGCTTACAACTATTTAATGTGGAAAAAAATGAGGACTGTTAAATAAGAAGTCAAATTCTTGCTTCAAAATAGCACTGGGTAATTACAAAACTCTCAGGCTGATTCTCCAGCTACTTTGCTGAGGTCTAGCTTAGTGGAGAGTTTTATGAAGTGATAAATATGAAATATTTATTTAATATAGACTTCCATTCTTAGAAGTACAACTGAGGGTTTTTGTTTGGTTGATTTTTTAAAATTCACAGGGAGAATGATGAATCAGTGAAAGAAGAGAAATCTGACTTAAAGGAAAAATCTACAGGAAGTAAGAAGGCCAATAGATTTCATCCTTATTCAAAAGACAAGAATTCGGGCACTGGAGAAAAGAAGGGTCCAAATCGTAACAGAGTTTTCATTAGCAACATCCCATATGACATGAAATGGCAAGCTATTAAAGATCTAATGAGAGAGAAAGGTAACTATCTCTGAAATAACCCACTGTTGGATAATCTTCATATAGACAGGGGAGGGAACTACACAAACATTTTTATTCCTCTGAGCCACACAGACTCAAAAAATTGATTTTTATTTCTTGACATGTGAATTAATCTTTTCTTCTTCTTTCACTTGACACAATTTCATTACAAGGTAGTATGGATATTTTTCTTTTTGCCATTTTGGTGGGATAGTATTGAGCCAGCATACGCATGCCACCAAGAATTTTGTTAAAGTGATTGCTTTGTCTAGTTGAAGTTTTTATAGATTTTAAAAGAGCTATTGCATTAGTTAAGTAATAAATTTAGCTTGTTAAAGAATGAATAATAAGGTCTGATTATTTTTTTTTCCAAAAGCTGTTTTGTTATTATCTTGGTGGAGTCTGGAATCTGGCTGTGGAATTTATTTTGTTTGCCTTGTCATGACTGCCATGATGCTGTCTTTGCAGTTCTAAATTAAAATTGCATTACTACTGTTGCAATTTTGTTTTCAGAATAATCTGAAAACCTTCATCTTATATACATGGTTGGTTTTGGGGAAAAATAATTTTAATACTTGATCTTGTAAAAGTTAGTTTTGTTACCTCTTGAAAAATTGAGTTTCAACAGTCCTGCAAACTATGTACTTGGTTTTGAGGCTGATCTCTTCTAATAAATTTTTTTAAAAATTGCATTGGTGTATCTGTTGTAAGGTGACAACTATTTGATTGGTTTTATTCATTGACTTTATTTAGAAAGTGTGTGGCTTGCTGTGACGCATGATTTGTAAATTTAGTTTACTGATGGCAAACATGATTGAAGACATTCAGGTAGAAAGTCACCTTAAAACAGCTGTTGTGTGTAGGCTGACCAAAGTTATTTGAAAAGTGCTAATGTTGAAGTTTTTTAATATGATAGGCTAAGGGACCATTTGTATGTATATGTGCATTTGTTCACCAACTATATCATGCTGGCCAAAATATGATCTGTAGTATGAATTAGGTTAATAGGGTTGTTAGCTTTTTCTAGAGAATGTGGATGATGTACATTTCTGAAAATCAGTTAAATTTACATAGCCATTGATAGGAGGTATGTTGGTCTGGTTTTGATTGTTGGTGAATAATAGGTGCTTCTCTGTAGAGTTGTGCACAGGTGTGCAGTAAAGCAAGATATTGGTGTTTAAATGTATTGTTTCTTGGTATCTTCCTTTTGTATGTCTTATGTAGTTGGTGAGGTTACATACGTGGAGCTCTTTAAGGATGCGGAAGGAAAATCAAGGGTAAGTGCTGTGGGCAATAATCTGCTTGAGGTTTAAAAGTTCCTCAGCAGTTTACTTTTTGTATAATACTTGTACCAGTTTTTGGAAACTTAAGTTTCATTTTGTTTTACTTTATTATGCAAGATTTGAGGCTCTTTACCAGCAAGTGTGACAGTTTTACAAATACCTAGCTGCCTGGAAGGGATGGGTTTTGAAAATACTCAAAAAGGGCATTCACTTTCCCAATGCTCTAAGGTAATACTTCTTCTTAGCCAATAAGATTTTAACATAGGATTTTTTTTTTTGTTGTATTTAGATGTCTTCAAGGATACTTTAAAAGTCACTGAATTGATAATATTCCTGAGTTTTTTGAGGAGCCTATAGCTTAAAGGTGTTAGTTTAGAATGTATTTTTGAAACTTTACTGTAAAGCTAAATTTGGTAGCCTGCAGGACTACATAAGAGGCAGTGCTCTGACCAATTGGTATGAATGACATTTATGATTATATTGACATAGAAGGAATTGGTTGATAGTATATTTTGATTTTTAGCAGCAAGAATGCAATATACTGAAGAATACAATGGAAAACTCTTAACAGTGTTTAATTTTATGCTAGTAAAACCAGTTGGGTGCATGATGAATAAAAACTTGTAATCGTATTCAAATGGGATTTTGAGTGGCAATCACAGGGAATTATTCTTTAAAATAACTCTCCAAATTAATTTATTATTAGTTTATAGATGATTTTTATATACTTCCAACTGGGTGCTGTTAAATGTGAAGGTAGTTTTAATCTAATAGAGAACTTGTTAAAAATAAAATTAATATTTATTTGCTGTATTGATTTTAATAGAGTTGAAAAATATGTTGTAGATGACACATCTTTTGAAAATATTTGTAACTATATAACGATAGGTATATTGGAGCCTTTAGTTATTTCCCTGATTTCCTGTTGATTTAATTTGTACAGTGACATTAGTTTTAACTTAAAGAAAAATCACCTAAAAGTAAAAAATATGCTCCAAGCTTGTTACATGCTAGATTCTACTATCTTTAATAGATACATTTAAAAATTTATAGAACCTTTATGGTCACTTGCCTGTTATGTTCTGGAAGTATAAAAGATGAAAAGTGATTGTACCATATTATTAATTGCTTTTAATGATTGAAATGTTAGAATTTATTAACTTCATGTACTGATCTAAAACTTTTTTTTCTTTTGCATATTTTGACAAATCTACCTGGATATAGGGTTGTGGGTAAGAAATTTTTTCTTTAAGTATTTTAAGTCAAATTAAACTTTGATTGGAAAAAAATTAGTACATAAACATTTCCTGTAATTTTTTCCCCTTTTAAGTGTGGTTGAATTCAAAGACGAAGAATTTGTAAAGAAAGCTCTAGAAACTATGAACAAATATGATCTTAGTGGAAGACCCCTGAATATTAAAGAGGTAAGATTTCTTATATTTGGAATTTAAACATTTGTCTAGAAGGACATGATTTCCTTGGATTTTCAATTTTGTTAATATATTTGTCTGACTACAATGTTGTTTTTAAGCATAGGTGGTTATTAACGCATTATATATTAATGATAGTTTTACTTGTACATGATTTTATGTTTGCTTTTAAGCAGTTATCCTATATTTGATTTGTTCCAAGTTGTTAAAAATGGAAGCACATAATAAAAAAAAATTCAGGACCTAGAAATTCAAAGGGGGTAAACTTTAGGTGCTGAGTTTATTTGGTACAGACATTTTCTATTTTTAGATTTTGTTATTTGAGAAACACAATATTTTCGTAATTGATAATTAAGGATCACTTAATAATGCAAACTTGTTATGGTTTTGAATAAAATTGATATTCACTTTTTATGAATGTTACTTGGAAACTATATTAGATTAAAAATTCATAAAAATTATAACTCTGTTAGTGAAATTTATAACTAGAAGTTTGAATCCCCTAAAATGGAAATGTTCTCTTTGTACAAAATTGTAGCAGTGTAAATAGGTTGACAAAAAATGACTAGAAGTTACAAAAAATTTTACAGTTTAACCTTGAGAATGACTGGCTTGAATAGCACTCATCTTCATGTGTTCCTTTATTTTGAATTGTTGATCTTAATAATTCGATTACAGACCTATTACAAACATATCCTTGCTAAAGTCTGTGTTAAAAGAGATAGGTAGTGTAACTTTGGGAACCTGAAGATTCTGTACTAATACTGATGTTAATCATTGGTTGAGAGCAGTACTATCAGTTAGCCATGGCATTTAATAGTATAGTAATGATTTGATTCCTGATTCCATCACTTTCTAGTGATGTGTCTAGACATGCCACTTCATTTCTCTAAACCTACATAACTGTAGTAGTACGACTGATAATAGAGGCATAGCTTTGAGATATTGTAGGTTTGGTTCCAGACTACTGCAATAAAGGAAATATCACAATAAAGTGTGTCATACATACGTTTTGGTTTTGCAGTACACATAAAAGTTATGTTTATTCTATACTGTATTCTATTTGAAGTGTGCAATAGCATTATGTCTAAAAGCACAACATACATTCCTTAATTTAAAAATACTTTATTGCTGAAAATGCCAGTGATTATTTGAGCTTTCATTGTAATCTTTTTTGCTGGTGGAGAGTCTTGCTTCAGTGTTGATGACTGCTGACTGATCAGGGTGGTGGTTGCTGAAGTTTGGGGTGGCTGTCACAGTTTCTTAACATAAGACAACAATGAAGTTTGCTGTATCAATTGGCTCTTCCTTTCATAAAAGATTTCTCTTGAAGCATGTGATGCTGTGTGATAGCATTTTACCCACAGTAGAACTTCCTTCAGAATTGAAGTCAGTTCTGTCAAACCTGCTGCTGCTTTGTCAACGAAATTTATGTAATATTCTAAATCCTTTGTTGTCATATCAACAGTGTTCATAGCATATTCACTAGGTATAGCTTCCATCTCAAGAAACCACTTTCTTTACTTAGCCAAAAGTAACTCCTAATTCGTTCAGGTTTTATCATGAGATTGCAGCAATTTAGTGACATCTTCAGGATCCACTTCTCATTTTCTTGCTCTTTCCACCACATCTTCATTTACTTCTACCATTTAAGTCTTGAACCCCTCAAAGTCATCCATTAGGATTAGAATACATTTTTTCCAAACTCCTGTTAATATTGATATTTTGACCTTCTCATATGAATCACAGATGTTCTTAATGACATCTAGAATGGTGCATCTTTTCCAGAAGGTTTTTAATTTACTTTGTCCAGATCTATCAGACAAATCACTGTCTATGACAGCAATAACGTTATGAATTGTATTTCTTAAGTAATCAGACTTGAAAGTTAAAATTATTTCTTTATTCATGGGTTACAGAATGGATATTGTGTTAATAGGCCTGTGAATGTTAGTTTCTTGCGTATCTTCTTTAACACTCTTGGATGACAAGTACATTGTCAATGAGCAGTAATACTTTGAAAGGAATTATTTTGAGCAATAGGTCTCAATAGTGGGAATAAAATATTTGTCAAACCATTCTATAAACAGATGTGCTATCATCTAGGCCTTGTTATTTCATTTATAGGGCAGAGACAGAGTAGATTTAGCCTAATAGTTAGGGCCCTAGGATTTCCAGAATGGTAAGCATGGCTTCAAATCAACTTAAGGTCACCAGTTGCATTATCCCGTAATGAAGGAGTCAGTCTGTCTGTTGAAGCTTTGAAGCCAAACACTGACTTCTCTTTTCTAAGTCTGAAAGTCCTAGATGGCATCTTTTTCCTATAGAAAACTGTTTCATCTACATGAAAATATATTGTTTAGTGTAGCCACGTTCATCAATGATCTCAGCTAGGTATGGATAACTTGCTGTAACTTCTACATCAGCACTTGTTGTTTTACTTGCACCTTTACGTTATAGAGATTGCTTCTTTCCTTAAATCTGATGAACCAGCTTCAGACTTTTCTTCTGCAGCTTTCTCACCTCTCTCAGCCTTCACAGAATTGAGGAGAGTTAAGGCTTTACTCTGGATTAGGCTTTGGCTTAAGGTAATTATGAGGCTGCTTTGATCTTCTGTTCAGACCACTGAAACTTTCAGACTACTGAAATGTTTCAAGCACAAACAACTGAACTATCTTAATAGTTCAAGAAGCATCTTCTCTACTGTGTTATCCTTCTTTCCCAAAGGTAACCAGTATCTTAAATTTTGTGTTTTTACCTGTTTTTGAAACATCATTAAGGCTGTTTCACTTTCTCATCATTCGTGTGTTCACTGGAGTAGCACTTTAAATTTTCTTCAGGAACTTCGATGCAAGAGGCCCGGCTTTTCACCTATCGGAACTTTTGATATGCCTTCCTCACTAAGCTTAATCATGTCTAGCTTTCAATTAAAAGTGAGAGACTTGCAACTCCTTCTTTTACTTGAACACTTAGAAGCCATTGTAGGGTTATTAATTGGCCTTATTTCAATATTGTTTTATCTCAGAATAGGGATGCCTGAGGCAAGGGAGAGAGATGGGGAATGGCTGTCGGTGGAGGGGTCAGAACATTTATTGATTAAGCTTGCTGTTTTATTTGGGCATGGTGGATGGCGCCCTAAAACAATGAAAACATCAAAGATCACTGATCACAGATCACCATAACAGATAATAATGAAGAAGGTTGAGATATTGCATGAATTACCAAAATGTGATACAGAGACACAAAGTGAGCGCATGTTGGGAAAATGGTGCTGATAGACTTGCTGGACACGAGATTGTCACTAATCTTCAATTTGCAAAAAGTGCAGTATCTGCAAAGCGCAATAAAGTACAACACTATGAAATGAAATGTGCTTGTATTTACCTAATAAGATTTTTCTGAGGATTAAATGACATACATGGTAAAGAACTTAGGCTCTGGCATCAGAGAACCTCTGTAACTCAGGGCAAATTACTTAACCTTTCTTGTTTGTTTTCTTATTGGTAAGATGGGAAGAATGATAGTACCAATCTGATAGTGCTATTGGAACTTAATAAATGAGCTAATAAATGTTAATAAAAGAGTTAATAAATGTAAACCGTTTAATGTTAGCTATTTATTATACTTGTGATGTTATGATTATACAGAGCACTAAGCACAGTGCTCAAAATATTGTAACTACCTAATATATGTTAGCCGTAATAATAATGATTGTTATTCCTGTCCAAGAGTCTCTTGTTCCTGAGAGTGAGAATAGCTTGAAATTAAAGGCCATGCTACAAACATGTAACATGTATCCCAGATCCCTTTATTTGAGTCTGCTTCCAAATTATTCTAATCCTCTTGGAGTCTGGGGGGTTATTATTTAAAAAATTATTGACAGGAATATATAGAATTAGTAGAGAAAATTTTGACTGTTGTGGTTTGTGTCAGTCATTTGTTAGGTGGTTTTTATGCGTAAGCCAGGGCCAGTGCTTCAGAAATGTGTTGGTATCTTAATTTTCTTTAAATTATAATAATCTGAATGATTATTTTGAGGATTGTATTAGATTGGTGCAAAAGTAAATGCAGTTTTTGCCATTAAAAAAAGCTTTGAATTAAAAGTAATGGCAAAAACTGCATTTACTTTTGCACCAATCTAATAATTTTCTGTTTTATGTTTTTCCTCTTCAAAGGATAAGTACTACAGATTTTGGTATTTTTTTCTTTTATTGGAAAAAAAAGTTTATTGCATGCTAAATATCAAGGCCATGTTATTGTGTTCTTTTAAGTTGAAGCACATTGGCACATTGTAGATCCTCAGTAATATTGCAGGGACCCTAGAGTTATATTAATCCAAATTGGTAGAGGATGCCACCATTTTCAACTTTTTTAAGAGGAAAAAAAAAAGGCTTAATTTGTCCTAGATAAATGATGAGGGATTTATTCAGTTGACTTTTTGGGATTAATGTCACTTTGGTGTTCCCTTTCCTGGAATATCTGATTTATAGATGGGTGGATGGAATGAATGCTTAGAAGTGCTACTGCAGTGTAAGTCTAAGGAAGGTATATTTCCAGTGTTCCTTAGCAGTCTTTAGAATTACATTTTTTTCATTTAATTAAACTCAGAATAGTATCAGTTATAAACTGCTACTATATGCCCTCCAAAAACAATAGCAGTCAGTGACCAGCAGGATGATAGCAAGGGGAAAAGAAGAATAAAAGTCATGTTATATAGTAGGTGATTTGTTTTATATAAATTTTATTTTATATATGTTTTATATATGTGTGCATGTATTGTATGTGCATATATTTCTGTCATGTGTGTATAAAAGATCAAAACAGCAATACACCTTGTTAATGTTATAAGCACAAACAACCAAAATATCTTACTGTAATAGTTCAAAAAACCTCTTCTGTGTTATCTTTCTTCCCCATAGGTAACCACTATCCTAATTTTGTATTTCTACCTCTTTTTGAATCCTTAGACCTAAAGAATTTATTATTTATTAACTTAAACATTTTGAAGCATTCTCTGATATATTTTTTCTTTTGTAATCCTTTTTGTTCCCTCATATTGAAGAAATATGTTGGAAGCCAGAATGGTTTTATTGTTTCATTTACCTTTTCACCTTTTCTCCAGCAATGCTAGAGAATTTATTAAAGTCATGTAACTTTTTAAAAATTAGTACAGTATTCCCAGACTGAGACCAGCAAAGTAGATTTGATGGTTACCTTTACACTTGATCTTAGCGTAAAGATGGAGAAGTGATGATGATATTTACCTTTAACAATCATTTGGCATTACAGATGATAGTCTGTCAATGTGTTTATGTGGTTTTTGTTTATTTATTTTTTTTTGTATTCATCTAGTGGGATGAGTGAGAAGTACATTTGTGTGTGTGTGTGTGTGTGTGTGTGTGTGTGTGTGTGTGTGTGTCTGTCTGTCTGTCTGTGTCTGTGTCTCTTTGGTTTTGTTTAAAGGTAGGGTGTATCTCTTACAAAATTAATGAACCTAACAAAAAACAATGTTTAATATCATTCCTCACTTGGACACTTAGCCTTCCTTTATCTCTCCCCTCCCCTATCTCAGATTATAATCATTGTTGAGGAAGGTAAGAATTTGGAAGGTGGATAATTGTATTTGTTCAGGAATAAAATTTACAGATTACAGTCAGTCATCCTGTCTTCCACCCTGGTATTTGGGCTTTATAACAGTCTGTTCTACTATTGAAAAGCTTTGAATTAGTCTAAATTTGGCATTCCATTGGTCATCCAGTAGTGAAAAATCACCATTCCTACATTTTGGAAAGAAAAGTCACAGTGAGTACTTCACTCTTCTTTGAGTTATGCGTATATATATTTGTACACTAGTGTGAAAGCAAAATTAAACTAATATCAAGTTCTTAAATGACTTTAGTGATCGGAAAAAATTATTTAACTGACATCTCTGGAGACTTAAATCTTTTGTCTACCCACAGGTTTTTATGGGACTCAATTCTCTGGATGAGAAAAAAGCTCACTCTTCAAGAGGGTCAATAATTTGAGCCAGATAGGATTGCTACTGTAGAATTTAAGTTGTTATTTTAATTATATAGAATTATTGATGTATTTAGTAGAATTTAACATCCGATTGTGTTATAGGATCCTGATGGAGAAAATGCTCGTAGGGCATTGCAACGAACAGGAGGATCGTTTCCAGGAGGACATGTCCCTGATATGGGATCAGGGTTGATGAATTTACCACCTTCCATTCTCAATAATCCCAACATTCCTCCTGAGGTCATCAGTAATTTGCAGGCCGGTAGACTTGGTTCCACAATTTTTGTTGCCAATGTAAGTTGAAGCTTTAGTCTAAAATTGGTCATTCAGAGAGATAATTAGATAATTTGATTAGATGAATGAGTGGTTTATAGAACATTTTGCTTATTTTTAACTAAAGTAAGTGAAACAGTAATTATTATAAACTCAAACCCAACTGATGTATATATATGCATACATACATATATATACACACACACAGAAGGTTAGAGTTTAAATAAAATGATTTGGATTTTTAAACATTGATCTGTGCAATTTATACACATTCAAGTAGTTCTTGAAATTTAATTATATGTGTTTCAGTTTATATTTGTAAATGGATTTCTTTTTTGTAGCCTTGATATTTGTGAATATGCATGTCATAGTTGGTTTGTCATTTGTTCTAAGCATTTGAAAGTCAGTGAAAACAATGCTTTTCAAAATCTGGATTTCTCTTGGTAAAAATAGATGTGCAAGTTTCAAAACAGGTTTGAGCAGTTGAGAGATAATTTTAGAAATTTAAAAAAGAGGATAAGGAACAATGTAGATGTAGCTTAATGATTTTAAACAACTGAAGATGTTTTTAAATTTGAACATTATTGATGTATTGTTGAACTAGGCTTACAGTTCTTTATGGTTTTGAGATATTCTTTTGTATTTACAGATGGGGAGAGGGATTTATTAGATATGTAACTTTATACAATTTTATATAAAGCTTGACTTCAAAGTTGGTTGGAAGAAGCTAAAGGAAGTGTTCAGCATAGCTGGAACTGTAAAGCGGGCAGATATTAAAGAAGACAAAGATGGCAAGAGCAGAGGAATGGGCACTGTCACTTTTGAGCAAGCAATTGAGGCAGTTCAAGCAATTTGTATCCTGACATTTTAGCATTGTTTATGAGGTTGAAGAAACTTAATACTATTATTTTGGTGGGGGTTTGAGGGTGGTAATTGAATTTAAGGTTGCCTGTGCCTGTCTTAGAGATGTGTGTTAGACTTTAGTCTCCAGCAAATAAAACCCTGACTAGGTACAAGTACTAAAGTCACTTTTAAAACTTGAATTAGCCATATTGTACAAGGCTAGTATGAAGTTTTTTCTTCTCTCTCTTCCTACCATAATTAATTGTGTACATACATTTAACAATTGTGTAATCCATTGTATATTAATGCAGTTACTTTAAGTGAAGCCTTATGAGTTTACTTTTTTCAATGGTTGAATTAAAAATAACCATCATTCTCAGCAAACTGACACAAGAACAGAAAATCAAACACTGCATGTTCTCACTCATAGGTGGGTGTTGAACAGTGAGAAAACATGGACACAGGGAAGGGAGCATCACACACTGGGGTCTGTTGGAGGGGACTAGGGGAGAGACAACAGCGGGTAGGGAGGTTGGGGAGGGATAATATGGGAAGATATGCCAGATATAGGTGACGGGGGTTGGAGGCAGCAAACCACATTGCCATGTATGTACCTATGCAACAATCCTGCATGATCTGCACATGTACCCAAGAGCCTAAAGTACAATTAAAAAATATATATATAAAGAAATTTTATTGTAACAAAAAATTAAATTTTTTTCTTTCTTTTTTCTTATTTATTATACTTTACGTTCTGGAGTACATGTACAGATCATGCACATTTGTTACATAGGTATACACGTGCCGTGGTGAATTTTTTTGCCTTTCAATCAGAGGAATAATATGCTAAAAATGGAATTTTAATTATTTTAAATTTGAAGTTATTAATAAGTTAGTTTGGAGGTACAAAAGATTGAAGGAAGAATTACCTGATGGAAATGCATTCCAGTAATCTGAACATAAGGTGAGGAATACTCAAATATTGGTAGTATCAATGGAAATGTATTTTTAAAAATACTAATAAAAATAATCTCATACAAAAAAATAAAATATATCTTATGAAATAAAATCATAAAGCAAAGAATTGAATATTTTTCTGAGTATATGAAAGTGGCTAATACCAATACATATTAAAGATGTTAATTAAAATATCAGAGATAGTTGGACTCTAAGATTATTAAAAATTAGTTTGTGTTCTGATATAATTTTACATAGTTATCTTAACTGGCTTTCCTTGACTGAACCAACAACAGCTATGTTTAATGGGCAGTTTTTATTTGATAGACCTATGCATGTGAAAATGGTGAGTTCATGTATATCACTTCAGCCTCCAACCTTTTCAAATTTTATTGACTCTCCTCTACATTACAGTTCTTTGTGATAATAAATTAACTATATTATAAATTTTCTTGCAATTAGGATGACAAGTCTGTTCCTCATGAAGAGTACCGTTCACATGATAGTAAAACACCACAACTGCCACGTAAGTAAACACTATTATGAGAAACATCATAGGCTTTTTTGGTTTATTATGTGCTAAGCAAAACTCTGTTTTTGTGCCTAGGTCTAGTTTTTTAATTTGCTTTTAAAAATTAGAATTATCTGTTCTCTTTATATTTGTTATATGTCAAATTTGCTATAATCACAATTTGGGATTATTTTGGAGTTATGAAGATAGTTTGGTGCTATTGATTAGGAAGACTGAGAAGATAAATGTTACGTGCCTTGTTTTTTTCTTTTTGGTAACTTTTCTTTTTAGCAATATATTCTAAAATGTTTGGTGAATTTATGCACTTGAAGGAAAAAAAGCTCTGTAATTTTATCATCTATGGGTAACTTCATTATAACGTTTTTCTGTATTTTCCTCCAGCCTTGTATGTATATTTTTTACATAGTTGGGAACAAAAATAATTTTGAATTGTATTTTATTTAACATTAGAGTGTAAGCATTTTTTTATGTTGAAAATTATTTTCAAATAGTTTTATTGGTAGTATAATAGTCTATCAGATAGATGTTCCATAACTGTTTCACTGTTCTGTATTTTAGGTGTTTGAACTTTTATTTCTGTTTGAGTAACCAACAGAGTAACACATGCATTTTTGTACACAAATCTTTGTTATGGTTTTGGGTACTTCCCTCATACAGATATTCTGAAGTAGATTTACAGTTCTAATGGTATTCCCATTGATTAGTATTATCAAATTGTTTTCCAAATGATTATAACAGTGTAATACACTTAGCATCTTTGTCTCAGTGCCTCATTTGACACGTTGGGATAATAATAATGTCTACTTCATGGGGTTGACATGAGTATTACATGAATTAGTATATGTAAACCACTTAGAATCATTCTGGCATTATGTAGGCACTCAATAAATATTAGCTATTGCTTTTGCTATTTCACTGCACCTTCTCTGGTTTTTAAAGTGTTCTTATAAGAAATCTTAAATATACAGATAAAAATAAAATTATTTATATAGTTATATGCCATATTTGTTATAGATTTTTTTTCTTTAAAATATATAAAATTTTACAGGTAAAATGGAGCTTCCCCATCTCCGTTGCCCATCTTTCAACTTATGCCTTATCCAGATGAAGCAACTTATGAATAGAGTATTTATTATTTAGTTTTTTTTTTTTTTTTTTTGGAGACAGAGTTTCGCTCTTGTTACCCAGGCTGGAGTGCAATGGCGCAATCTCGGCTCACCGCAACCTCCGCCTCCTGGGTTCAGGCAATTCTCCTGCCTCAGCCTCCTGAGTGGCTGGGATTACAGGCATGCGCCACCATGCCCAGCTAATTTTTTGTAGTTTTAGTAGAGACGGGGTTTCACCATGTTGACCAGGATGGTCTCGATCTGTTGACCTCGTGATCCACCCGCCTCGGCCTCCCAAAGTGCTGGGATTACAGGCGTGAGCCACTGCGCCCGGTCTTAGTTTTTAATAATTTGATTACACATACCTACCATACTACCATAAACATAGGGAATTGTTTTGCTGGATTTACAATTTTGTTTGAGTAACATCATAATGTATTATATAACTTGCTTTTTTTTTGTTTAAAATTGTTTTGGAGATTCATTTATATTGATAGATGTAGCTCTAGTTTCTTCATTTTAACTGCTGATACCACATTTTATACATTTTTCTGTTTTTAGGTTAGTTTAATTTTTAGTTATTGTGTATTAAGTTGGAAAGTATTTGTTCTTTTTTATTAGAATTATCTGTTCTTTTTATATTTGCTAGAAATTATGTGTAAAACTGGCCTTCATCTATTGTTTTTGGGAAGTTGTTAATTACTGATGGTTTATATTTTCTATTGTTTTCTGAGTCAATTTTTGTAATTTCTATTTTTCTAAGGATTTTTCGATTTTTGTTCATTTTCAAATATTTTGGCATACAATTATCTCAGTAAATTTTTCTACATCTATGGTTCTGTTTTAAAAATTCTGAGTTTGCGTTTTTTATTTTTTTCTTGGTTAGTTTTGTTAGAAATGTGTCAGTTTTAATAGTGTATTCAAATAACTGAATTTGGATGTTTTGTATTTTTAATTTCTGCTCTTAGCCTTATTTATTATGTTTTTCCTTCTATTTCTTTGGGTTTAGTTTGTTTTTGTCCTAACTCCTTAAGTTGAATGCTTACTTTAAATTGGTAGCTTTTCTTTTCTAATATAAGCAGTTATGACTATAAAGCTAGTACATGGGTTTTGCTATGGAACATTTTTATGATGGGTCACTTTTTAGAGTATTTAAAAATTACCATTATGGGCCAGGCGCAGTAGCTCATACCTGTTATCCCAGCACTTTGGGAGGCCAAGGTGGGCTGATCACTTGAGGTCAGGAGTTCAAAACCAGCCTGGCCAACATGGTGAAACCCCATCTCTACTACAAATACAAAAAAAGTAGCCAGGCGTAGTGGCACATGCCTTTAGTCCCAGCCACTTCAGAGGCTGAAGCAGAAGAATCACTTGAACCTGTAAGGCAGAGGTTTTAGTGAGCCGAGATCGCACCACTGCACTCCAGCCTGAGTGACAGAGGGATACTCCGTCTCAAAAAAAAAAAAAAAAAAAAAAAAAAAAGATTACCATTATGATTTCTTATTGAGCCATATATTATTTGAAAGTAGAAGTTTTCAGTTTCAAAAGGTATGAGTTTTTTTTTCTTAGTAATTTCTCATTTCAATTTGGTCAGAGAACATGGTTTATATATGAGTGTGAATCTTTGGAATTAATTTGGGCTTATGGAAGGCCTACCATATGATGCATTTTTCTTAGTATTCTGGGAATAGTTGGTGAGTGCAGTGATCTATGTCCATTAAATCAAGTGTATTACTCATTTAAATTGTCTTAGATTCTTACTAATAATTTTGTCTGTAACACTTTTTATCTTATTATCTTTTGTGTCTGGTAAAGTTGCCCAGTATAATAGTAGATTTGTCAACTTTTTCTTTTTACTTAAATATTTTTAAGCTAGCTTAGTAAGTCCATCTAGATTAGAATTAATATATTTTCCTAGTGAATCAAACATTTTATATTAATGGGTGATTTTTTTTCTCTAGTAATTACTTTAAGTCTTTTGTCTGATATTAATGTCAGTACAACAACTTTATTTTGTTTAGTACTTGCCTGGTACATTTTTCCTATCTTTTTACTGTTTTAGATGTCCCCCATATAAACATTGTTATCGTTGGGATTAGACTTTTTAAAAAATCACTTTGATAGTTTTTTTCCCTATAAAATTGAAGAGTTCAGTTTCTTCACATGTATTGGTTCATTTGGGTTAATTTCCATTATATTATTTTGTGTTTTATTTTTCTGTTTTACAAATACTTATTTTTCTCCTATCTTCTTTGGTGTTTGTTCTGGATATTTTAATATTTCTATGAATCCTGAAGTTAATATAATTATTTTAGTAATAGTAGAATGACCTTTGAATGCAGTCACTTTCCTACTGAATTATATGCTATCATTGCTGAACGTTTGAGTTTTGTATTATTGGTTCTGTACTGTTTTTTTTCTGTCCCACAAATTAGACAATGTTATTTACCATTTTCTTGTGTCATTACTCCTCCGCTTTTATACTCTGGTGTTCATTTTTTTCTTTGAAGTATATATGTTAGAAGCTGTTTTAGTGAGGATCTTTTATTAGTAAATTATCTCAATTTTGGTTTTTAAACATCTTCGAAGATAGTTTAACTTGTTTTATAGTTTAAGATTGATAATTATTTTCTCTAAGCACTTTGAAAGTATTCTGCAGTCTTCAGGTTTATACCATTTCTATTAAGTCAACTATTTGTTGAATCATCCTTTCTTTATAAGTAATCTGTGTCCTTCCTGTAGTTGATTTTAAGATTTTTGTTGTGCAGTTTGGCAACAAAGACCAAAGTCTTAAAATCAGCTCCATGTCATTATGCAACTAACCTAAGTTCTCAAAAATTTCCTCTTCTATGAATAATAGATGTTAAAACACTTAGGGTGCCATATAAGTATAAATAAATATTTATAGCAATAAGAAAACTAGGTAATGTAATATTTGCTTTATGCAATGTTATACTTACATGGTTATTTACTTTTTAGTGTTATTTGAACCGTTTAAGAAGTAATTCTCAAATTTGAAGTGGTTCTACAAATTTGGGCAAGATGCTCATTTTCAGATGTGTGTGCCATATATAAGGTGCTATGATATTCAAAATCCTCTCGATACTTTATTATTCCTTTCATTGTACCTTTAAGTGGTATATAAGGTGTACTTTATATTGTATCATGTTTCATATCATAAAACACTTCTCATTAATAAATGGTTTTATAGTCAGGCTTCAGTGTGCTACTTTCTAGATAAAAACAAGAACCAGTGCAAATTTGCAGAAATTTTAGGGATACTACTTCAGGTATATGGCTTTTTAAAAAATTTTCTTGCCAATTAGTTAATCATATATGGATCTTGGTAATATTCTTCTCATTTTTGTTTTAGGTGGCCTTGGAGGCATTGGAATGGGACTTGGTCCAGGTGGACAGCCTATTAGTGCCAGCCAGTTGAACATAGGTGGTGTAATGGGAAATTTAGGTCCAGGTGGTGAGTATTCTAACTTTCTTTTTTCTTTTTAAATGATACATATGCTAGCTAATAAAGCCATCGATCTGGTCTGTTTAAAGGACTCTAATTAATATTTAGATATTTATGATGTCACTTCAGTCTGAAAAAGGAATGAAACCTTGAGAGCAGCTAACATGAAAGAGATAGGCAAAAGTCAGGAAGGTTTCTTTGGGGCCAGCTGTATTGTAGCTAGCCTTTTAGCACTTTTGATTTTGAAATGCCTTTAAAGCAGAAGGAGAATATGTCATGTATGTACAGTATTTATGGAGTGGCTGAAATGCTATAATATCATAGCCAACTTAAATTTGGGAATGTGGCTTTTCAGGTAGTTATTTGGCTGCTCATCTGAAGGAACTCACAGTTCATTTTTGGAGATTGGTTTTTAAACTCTGGTGTTAGGACCCAGACTTTTAATTTTATATCTTAAAAATTGTTGAGAGCCCCAAAATGCTTTTGTTTATATAGCTATAATTACCAGTGTTTACTGGTATTTATTATACTATAAATGAAATAAAAATGAAATGTATTACAAATGAAAACTTGGAAATTAGAAAAATTATGTATTAAAAAATAAACTCATTACTTAACATAAATAAAATCTATAAGAAAATAAACTGTTTTTCAATGCAAAAAAGAAATTAGTGAGGAGAGTGGCATTATTTTACCTTTCCACACATCTTTTTAATGTTTGGCTTAATATTAGACATCCATGCTACTGTATTTGTTTCTACATTTAGTTTTTTGTGATATTGTGTATCATATAGTCTTTGGAAAATTACATCTTAAACTCAAGAAAAACAGTGGCAAAACAGTCAAATAATGTCTTGGTAGTATTTGGTGACTTAAATAGTTTTGACCTATTGAACCCTAAAGAGTCCCTGGACCATACTTTGTGAATTATTGTTTTAATTGATAGACTGATAAATGCTATCAGGTTTCTATTTTTGTTGAGATGCTGTAGTCACACTTTATGGGCTCATTATGGTAATCATTCTGATCCAAACAAGTTTTCTCCCTTATCCTTAGACTCTCACACCTACCTACCACCTCCTAAATATGTACTATTTATAATTTTAAATTTTATACTACTCCTTTAACTGCCATCTGTAGAGGAGTCCTTACATTCTGGCCTGATCTCTAAATCTGCTGTAGTGATATTTCTGTGTCTGTGCTGGAAAAAAAATCATTGATAGTAATATTTCTGTGTTTATTGTGGAAAAAAGTAAATGATTACCTAGTTCTAGATATTCTCTAGCTGAATGTTGTGGGTGTTACTAGTGAATTTTGCTTTCTTGTCTAATAAATGTTCTTAGAAGCCTTTTTTAAGATTTGTGATTAGACAGCTCCTATGGCATGGCACTTTAAACCATGCCTCCTGTACCCCACCGCTTCTCTAGTGTTTCATTGTGGTTAGACCAGTGGTATATATTTTGCTATAATGCATTATATCATTCTTTAGTCATAAAAATAAAATTTACTTAAAGTACATACTGTGTATTTTATTTGAGGTATGGGAATGGATGGTCCAGGTTTTGGAGGAATGAATAGAATTGGAGGAGGTATGTATAAAGATTTGTTTTTTTGTATGTACCCATCACCATTTTTAATAAACTAGAAACTGTGTTGAGAATTCCATGAAAAAAAGTCATGGTTTATTGTTGGCTCATGTTCTAAAGGCTGCTAGCAGAAATTGAGCCTGGTACATACTTTAAGGAAAGTGATGTATTAAGAAGTAGCTGCACAAGGTAGGGTGGATGAAGAGCTTACTGGTGAGATTTAACATTTACAAAATGTATCTTTCAGCTACATGACTGACAGTTGGATCTCAAAATTAATCTTTATTCCATAGGAATAGGGTTTGGTGGTCTGGAAGCAATGAATAGCATGGGAGGATTTGGAGGAGTTGGCCGAATGGGAGGTAGGTACATGTATGCAGTGGGAAGCATGTGCACATTTAGTTTTCCCTGTTATTAAAATCTCCACCCTGTAACTTAGGAATGGGTGCTAAAAATGTCTTCGGAAAGCATATAGACACTATGGGATAAAGATAGGCATGGTGGGAATGGGGATGGTATATATAGCATGTGAGGTAAGTTGGGTAAATGACAGACTATTTTGTATTTGTGACTTATGCTGTTTTTTCATAGTTTAGATATGTTCCTGATGTTTTCATAATGCACTGATATATTTGAAAAGGGTTAATTTGTTGCACAATTTTTTCAGAGCTGTACCGTGGTGCGATGACTAGTAGCATGGAGCGAGATTTTGGACGTGGTGATATTGGAATAAATCGAGGCTTTGGAGATTCCTTTGGTAGACTTGGTAGGGCTGGCTGCATACTACTTTTCTTTTTGTAGGCTCTAATTTTCAAAATTTGGTTACTCTTTTTCTGTGAAACATCAGAAAATTATTATGTTTTATACAACTTATTACCTGAAGAAAACACTTTAAGGATTTTAATATGCTAGCCCTCTTTTTCAACATCTTATATATTTGAACTCTATTTTAAGTAGACTTTATGCTTTTCAGTTATTGTACATTGGAGCACATAGTACCTTGGAAATTTTAAAGTATGATTATTCAAATTAATTAGTATATTATCTTTCCATCCTTGTTTAGGCAGTGCAATGATTGGAGGGTTTGCAGGAAGAATAGGAGCTTCTAACATGGGTCCAGTAGGATCTGGAATAAGTAGGTTTAAATTTTACTAGAATTTATTCAGTAATATTTGAGTGCTTGCAAAGACTTTGCAAGAGTAGCTATTGTAGTATAGTAATACTTTGTTCTTACATGTTAATGTGTCTTGCTATAATTTGAGAAACCTCAATAGTTAAGACTTTGATTATTGTTTGAAATTTCTAAATTAACTATTTGAATTTTACTTCTTTGATATTTCTAAACTGTGTGCCAACAGTCAATCCAAGAACCTTCTTTCCAACTAAGGAATCTGATCTTGTGTCAGGAACAACTTTTGCTTTAGCACCAACTTTGTTTCCTTGCTTATTTTCTGTAGTAGCCATTAGTGACTAGCTTATTTTGTTTGTAAATATCTATATCCTTTGGTAAATGCAGATATAACACTTTGAGGCACCTCATGAGCTTGAGGGCTAAGATCGAAAGAGGCGCTTATTTCTTTTCCTCTTGAACCTTTCCCGTATTAGCATCAAGAATACTTGCAACACTAGGGAATGCTGAATCTCCCATCCATTTCCGCTACTACCTTTTAGACTTTATATTAAACCTGAACACATGGCTTATTTATTATTATTATTTTTAACCTCTTTTGCTTACTGGGCCATGTCTCTGAACTCTCCATATTTTATTGACGTCCTTTAATTGATGAAATTTCACAAATAGGAAATATAATCTATTTAAACTATTCTAAGAGTAAATTCTAAAATCCTGTCAGCTGAAAATATCTACTTCTATTGTGTCTTCCTCCTCATTTTATTCCTTCTTGCATCATCTTTTAGCCACAGCCATTTGCTGTTAATCCTAACTTTCCTACCTTTCTCTTTTATCTCAGTGTTTATACTTCTGTTTCCCTGATTTTATACTGGTTATTCACAGAAAGCCAATTTGAGGGTGATGTTAATTTTTAGAATTTCCATGTTAGGGGATATTAAGTACAAGAAAAAAGTTTTGATAATAAGTAGATTGGAGTAATTGAAAAGGACAGGAGATAGCATCATTGTGTAAGAATGAAGTAGGTATGAGCTCAGAGTTAAATTGTCAAGCTCTGGCTAATGGGAAGTGATAGCATTTTTTGTTGTTCCCTTGACAAGTTCTTTATAATATTGAGAGTAAAAGTTATGTTTTGCTATGATTATTGAATTACCATGAGAAGAAAAACTGTACGGGAAACAGAGGTGAAGATGCTGAGGTGAAAGCTAAGCTAGGGAAGGAATATTTACCTGTAGGAGAGTATGATGAGAGCAGCTTGAGTGCTACAGTTGTAGTAATTTGAGTTTATCTCCGTGTATCTTTATTCTCACAGTTATTACGCTTGATATTATTGGAAAACAAAAATAAGGATGAGAACAACTGTCATGCTGTTGGAAGCAGTGATTGATAGAGGATTTATATATTTTATGATCAGAATATAAATTATACGTTTATATATATATAATGTATTTATATAGTGGCTAGAATTTCTAAGCTAACGAAATGTATACTGAAGCAAATGCTGGTCTTTGGAAAGTTGTTATCTGTATTAAAATATTTTTATGTTTATAATCTAATTATACAAATTAATTTTCCCCCTTCTTTCTCAAAAATGATTATCTCTTCTTTTTTTCCTCCTTTCTCCTCTTCTCCTTTTCCTTATGTTTTTGAAACAAAAACATGAAATTCCCAAATCCCCCTGTCTTTTCTTGAAAATCCAGGTGGTGGAATGGGTGGCATGAACAGTGTGACTGGAGGAATGGGGATGGGACTGGACCGGATGAGTTCCAGCTTTGATAGAATGGGACCAGGTATAGGAGCTATACTGGAAAGAAGCATCGATATGGATCGAGGATTTTTATCGGGTCCAATGGGAAGCGGAATGAGAGACAGAATAGGCTCCAAAGGCAACCAGATATTTGTCAGAAATGTAAGCAAATAAATATTAAGGATAATTGAAATTCTTTTTTTTCTTGTATATATGTTACTAATACCTTTTTTCATTCTAGCTACCTTTTGACTTGACTTGGCAGAAACTAAAAGAGAAATTCAGTCAGTGTGGTAAGTATGCCAATGACTGCAGTATGTTGATAATGATTATGCAGGAAAATTGGTTGTAAACTCTTAAACACTGTGTTTAGACCTTTGCCTGATGCCTATTCCTGGATAGTCTTGATAGTGTGCCAGGTCTAATTCCACTACAGTTAAGTGAATTATTTCACTACCTTTTGACTTAGAGCAGTGCCATTACTACTAGGTAATAACAAGGTTTAGATAACAAGGTTTAGGATATATCCTATCATTGTCTTCTGTTAATAAAGATAGAGTTTGTCTTACTACCTCATTTTAAAAATATAAATATATGATCATTGTTTGCATTAAAATGTTTTTTCTCATGAGAAATATTAATAAATGGTATATTTATTTCTTTGTTTGTAGTATAGGGCAGTGGATTATCAGCATAACCAACAGAGATGCTGACATCCAATTGATAAGGGAGTTAATATGTGAGACCCATTCTACAGACACTGTATTCCTACCTAACGTAGGAAACCTAGCTGGTAGCATACAACCCACTGCCAGCAATGCCTTGGACATGTGTACATTTTGGTTGCCCTTCTTTTTAACTATAATGATACTACTTATACAACCTTAATATGTTCCATAGGTCTGCAGAAGATTAGATGGTTTATTACTTTTAAAAAAGAGCTTTTTATATACCATACTTAGTTTTGTTATAAAATATATTAATGGACTAAATTCTCACTTTTTTTTCTTTTGCAATAATGGGAGAATTCATGTGAGTTTCATAAAGTAAAATATTTTTTGCTGCTATTAACATTTTTCTGTTATTGCATGGAATCTCAGAGACTAGAGTCACAATAGGAAGCTACATAAGGTAGCATATGTATAATTTCTAAGATCATGAAGAGATAGGTTTAGTGTTCTGTCACAAAATAGCCTTTGTGGCCACTACAGAGATAATATTACCTTAGATTTCTTTATGCATGACTCTTTTGTAGCTTTTATTATATTAATAGTTATTTGTTCAAATTTTCTTCCTATATGGAAGCTCTTAAAGGCAAGAACTGTCTTTTTAGCCTAGCTCCTTTTATTGCCTCTGTACATACAGTAAGAGTTTATGAAAAATTTATAAGTTAAGTGTTCTGGGTATATGTGATTTATTCATTAAATCCACAAACATATTTTTGTCAGTCTGCTAGTCACTAAAATTTTGAAGGTGAACAAAGGGCTCTTGCCCTCAAAGAACATACAATGTGAATTTGTCTAGGATGTTCTGTTCAGTCTCTTTCTTAATTGTCCTTTTATTTCCACTAATCAAAATTAAAGTAATGGAAACTTAAAAAATTTTTTGAAAAGAAAAGTTGAAAACAAAGTCAACTGGTTAATAGTCACTACTAAGAGAAAGCAAAATAGTAAAGCAGGAGTAAGAAGATCTATCAGAATGAGTCAGCAGTATCTGGGCATGAATCTTGTAGACTACAGAGGAAATAATGTATATAGGGTCTTAGTGAAATACATCAAATGAGGAGCAGTGGCAGCAAGTATAATCTCTGTTGATGTAGTTTCAGTGAAAAAAAAGAATCTCCAAATGAGGTATGACATTATGTTAAAAGTAGAAATGAAACTTAGCAAGGTAAAGAGCAAAGCAGGACAAATAAATGACAATGAATAGGTGACCAATGTTGGGTTGCCTGTTCCTTATTCTTTGTAGGCTAATTTCTTTTGAGGTTAGATATAAGCAAGGCTTGCAGTAAATTTGAAATCTTTTGTGGGCCTCTGGTCAGAGTGGCATTGTTTTGACATGAGGACATCAGCTATTGCAAGACATTTTTTTGAAAGGAAAAACCATTTAAATCTGTGTGGAAAATTTTTACAGTATTTTAGCCATATAAAATAATGGTTAAATTATTATTCTTTGCTATTTTGGCTCCATTCTTATAATCCTTTTTTGATCATAATTCTATTTTAAGATTAATGATTTTTATTTTATCTTTTGTAAAAGTTTCTGACTCTTAGATTTCAGTTTAAGGTAACACCATATTTATACAATTCTCTATATTTCCCTTATTTTTAACCTTGAACTATATTGATGGGAAAGAAAATAAAGTTATAATAGTATAGAATTAAGTTTCCAGATATTGACAACTATACAAATTATCTAGCTAGTATGAACTGAACCATCCATTTTTCTGCCATGTCATTTATTTATAAATCTTTTTTCTTAGTATGGAGACATTTCTTTTTAACATGCTGCAAGCTAGTAATGGCCTCTTGGGCAGTAAAAGGCAGTCTTTTATTGTTGTTGTTTTTCTTCTAAGCCCCAAGAGAGTAAGTATATTCTCTTGCTTGCTTCTTAATAAGGATCTAGTATTACTCAATGCATCTCCCCTAAACAATATCTGTCAGTGAAAGGTGCCTGGGAAGCCCCTCTGCTTGTAAATTATCTCTAGTGATTAGCTGTTGTTGATGGAGCAATTACAAAAGATGAGTAAATGTTATATTATGGGTTATATTGCCCTCAATACAACATTGTATTAGCCTTTGTAATTCTGAAAAAATTGTTTTCAGATCTTTCCAAATATAATAAGATGAGAAATAAGTGAAACATAACTGCTATTTTCTAATTCCATCAAGCCCCTAAAGGTAATGTTTTTGACCCCAGGCTGGTAAGATACACATCTTTCCTGTAGCAAAAGAGATCTTTCTTTTTTTTTCTTGCCCTGTGTAATTTCTCAGACATAGGCATTTTCAAAAAGGCTGAGTATAAATGAATTAATCTATTTAGTATTGGACCCCACATCATTTCAGCTTGTGCTAATAGGGTCAAATGGGCATATCTTTTAAATGTGCTCCCATGTCATCTGTATACTTTAGCTGCATTCTGGCCTTCTGGCTCAGTATGATGCAAGAATGTAACATTTTAGCACTGCAACACAAGGAAAACCCATTCTCAATTATTCTTGCTATAAGCCATATAAACAGATACAACTTTGTTTCACAGATTTCCATTATGTAGTATTTCTACATTAGTGTGCTTGTTAACTGCATGGAAAATGGAGGTTTATGGTAGATTTTTTGATTAAAGTACTTGCTGCTTCAAGCATGATGAGAGGACTTTAACTCTAGAATCATTTAACAGTAAAAATTCAGTAATATTATAAATGACATATGATGAACATTCATTGATAGGCACTATCTTTTGTTAGTAAAGAAACATTGGAAAACTTTGCTTTTATATCCCTTATATCCTTATTATGTTTTCTTATGGTAGAATGCCTGATTTTCCTTTTTTCATTAATGGTTGTGTTACGACTTCACGTAGGCAGTAGATTTTATTGAATATTCTTTAATTCGTTTTATTTTTATATATATTTTTATACCAGCATATCCCAATATATACCCCACAAAATGTTAATGGGCTGGGTTAAATGAAACAGAAAGGTTTCTTTTTACTGTGGGATAAATCCTTTTTATTACTAGTATATGTAACAGCAGCAATATGTTTGATTATTCTGTGATAATTTCTCATGGCATACTGTTTTGTCCTGTGCTGTTGCTAAAATTGCAGTCCTGTTTTTGTTTTCTTGGACTCATATAAAATTAGTGAATATTTAACTCAGTTGAGGGTCCTCAGAGCATCAGCTATTAGAAACTATTTTTTTTTTCTCCTGTTATTTGTCTTTAGAAAAGAAAATATTTCAGTTGGTGTTTTTATAGGATCAGGAAGAAACTCAGAAAATTTACAACTGTTTCTGGTTCCATCCTGCTGGGATTCTTTTTAGGGGAGCAGTCTCTCCATAAAATAAATATGTATGGCTACTGTCCATATAGCTTGAGCATCAGAACTGTAAGAAAGTTCAAGTATCTTAGCTGAGGGACCTTGTCCACTAGAGAATTTTTGAGGTCATTGCGAGTTCAGGAATTTGGAGGTCTAAGTGCTGATTTCTAAACTGAAAGAGACAATTTAAGAGGAAAGCAAAAAAGAGAAACTGTCCTGAAAGATTGAGAGACAGATTGTGCAAGAAATAGTGACATATTTTCCTTTGAGTTTTTTGAAGAAGATTTCTTGCTTAGGTGAACTTTACTATTGCTAATAAACTTATGATGGGATACGTAAGAAAAACTACACTTTTAGGTAAAATTAGGATAAGGAAGAAACTTTAACCTTAAAATCGCCTGAAAATCTCAACAGTTCTTTTCATAATAACTGTAAGGTGCTGCCATTTACCAAGGTATGCTTCTTTAATTAAACTTACTTTTTTTCAGGTACCAGCATTCAGGATATTAAGAGAACTCTGGAAATTGTGCTGCATTTATCTTCAAAGTTTTTTTATTTAATGTGTTTTTCAGTTTCATTTTATGATGTTTATTAGAAAGTGTGATTACTGTGTTTTGCTTATTTTCCCCCATTTCATTCCAGTTGTGGGCTAAATATTATTTGGATCTACTTTAACCATTATCATGTAATTTCTCTGAAGATTAGCCTATTTTATAACTTCTCAGAACACATTTAAAGACTACCTGGCCTGTGTAACAAGATACTGGTTTTGTTTCAGCATGACATTTATTATCTTAGACCATTTAATTAGTGTTTAGTAGGTGAGCAGTTGACTACCAGTTGGTTTTAAAAAACAAATGCAATAATAGGGAGTGGATGAAAAAGTGAAAGTCTGAAGTAGTCCAGGGTGTTATAGGTAAGAGATCATTCAGATCAAGATTTCAAGAGAAAAAAACCTTCCTTATGCATTAATGTTAAAATTTGATCTTATCTGGAAAGGGCCTATGCAATTTTTTGAGAGGCCCTCTTGATTTTCCCTTTCCCCTTCTTTTTCCCCTCCCCCCTCCCTTTATAGAACTAAATATGTCTGGCTGTCTGATTTGGTTGCCAGACTAAAATTAGCCCATAGTGATCTGGCAACTATAATATTTAAAGTCTTCTAGCTTGATTTGTTTTGACATGTACATCTAGTGGGGAGGGAAATATTATGGTAAGTAGTCACACCCTAAATTTATGACCTGTTTGGATTGAGTGACCACGTATTCCAGTTGCCTGGGGATAGTCTCACTTTACATCTGTTACTTATGTGTAATTTTTGATAACTCCCCCTTTTACTCTCAAAAGTGTTCTAGTCCAGTGAGGAACTCTGTGGCCACTTTGTATTTTGATAAATGGTATTGATTTACTTCAAATACCAGTCTCTAGAGTTAGCAATTATATCACAACTGCATAAGGACAGGTTTCTGGTTTTCCTCCTCTTTCCTGAAGCTTCTCCAAGATTCTCCTCTTGACATCACTGTTTTTACCTTTATTGATTTAAATAGATGCTATCTCTTCCCATGACTCTTTCCATAGCATATTTAGTGCCATTCTTAGACTTTGAGTTCAAATTGTGATACTGAATTTGCACTATGGTTGCAAAACAGAATTAGTGTGGCCCTTTGTAGCTGGATAGAAATTAGATTTCTGATCAGTTGCACTTGTTTGCAAGGGATGAAGGGGTGAAATGAGGATATAAAGGGAAGGAAGACACATTAGGGAGACTGAGCAGTAAGCAACCATTTATTCTAAAAATAATTTTGTTTAAATGAGTAAGTTTGTCATAGGGTATGGTGAGTTGGTGGCATTTTGTGCTAGCTTGACTTACTGCTTATAAAATTCACTTCAAGAATTAGGGATTTAACATAAATAAAATACATTAAATCCTAAGAAAATCTCCTCTGATTCCAATTTTGTGTATTCTAATATGTATATATTTATTACTTTATATGAATTGTATTTTATTCTGAATGTAATGCTTATTTTAATGCATTAATGTTAATGTTTTTAATAAATTATTACAATTGGCTATGAGGAATTTCAAACCTATAAAGTGAACTAGAACTCATTTAAACTGACTAGTAATTCTGTAACTTTTATTTTACAGGTCATGTAATGTTTGCAGAAATAAAAATGGAGAATGGAAAGTCAAAAGGCTGTGGAACAGTCAGATTTGACTCCCCAGAATCAGCTGAAAAGGCCTGCAGAATAATGAACGGCATAAAAATCAGTGGCAGAGAAATTGATGTTCGCTTGGATCGTAATGCATAATTTCAAGCCATGGTTGGAACATTCCTACATCTGTTTTGCTGAATCTCCTAGTAAAAGTCATTTTTTTAAGTAATATTGTATGCTTACAAAAGCTGTAAAAATGAACTTTTAAAACTCCCACCAGCTTTTAACAGTATAATGTTAAAAATATACTGTAATTTTTGTTAATCTCAAGTTTGGGTTTTTAAAGACTGCAAGTCTTGTCATTCAGTTTAAATGAATGGTTATACTGTTTTTAATGAAATAAGCCATTTTCTTGTTGTTTTCAGTACTACATAGTGGGATTTGTTTGCTCTAGTTTCTCCAGTTTTTATCAACTTATTGTAAAGTAAAACATAGATTTTTTCCCCCCAAAACTTCTGTTTTATAATATGTTTTTGTTCATGAAAAGAAAGGTCTCAGAAGAATTGGGATGTGATTTGGTTGGTTTTAAATTACTGTAAGTTTTAGATTCTAAAGTTCAGGATTTTTAAAGTTTGATTTAAATGAAGAAATGGATTTTTGTCTCTGCCCCTCCCTGCCATTCACATTTTCTGCATAACACTCTGAATAATATCAATCTCCACAGCCCCTTATTTTATTATTTCCAATAATTCCAAGTTCATATAGAACTGATAATGTAGCAAGCCCCAAGTATGATAATAGGCAGACTACTCCCAACTTTCTGTCTAGTTTCCAGTCATTAAAGTGAACTGCTAAAAAAAGAAAAATAATTGAAATGTTGAGAGAGATGGTTATATAAGTTAGTCCTCTGCTGTTTACTTCTACAGGACCTGATCCATTTATAAATGCAGTTTTAATAAACCATGGAATACCAAGGCACAACATATCAAACACATTGGATCCCACGATGTTAGACATAGCCATATCTCCTTTCCCTACAGAAGAAAAGCATATTGTTAAAATGTGCTTACCAATACTGTATTTTATTAATAATCTTCATAAGAAAAGAAACACTGGATACTTTTTTTGTTGTTGATTCATTTTGAAAAATTGTTGTTAGAATAAATGTCTTAATGAATTTGTATTTTAAAATTTTTCTTGAGTTAGTATTTAAAGTCTTAACATTTATTTAATAATTATATTTATTAAACCATTTTTCAATAAGGTGTATAGCTTACTTGTTGCTTTTCATTGTAATTTAACATGGTTAATTATTATTTAATGCACATTTCAAATGAATATTATTTGGGGGATTAGACTGAGTGAAATTAACTTGCTATTAAATAGTAAACATTTCCTCGAGTCACTTTTTTTTCCCTTCAAAGTATATTGCTGAGGAAGTAAATATTTTTAAAGCTACTTTTACTCATTCCAGGCTTGTATAATGACCATCGCAGCTTGAGGGACCTAGTTCTTACCTTTTCTTGCAACCAACACACTTGCAATTGTGTCTGGTATGCTTGTTCCTGCTGCTAATAAAGTAAGGCCCATTACTGTATCTGGAATTTCTAGTGTTTCCCCTGTAATAAACAGATACTTCAAGTTACAAATCTTACAGATTCACTAACCATTCTTTGCAGTTATTTTTGATATTTCCTTCCTGAACAAAAATAAAATAGGCACATTTAGAATTCAGAGCCAATATGTGCTTGCTTAGTTTTTTAGCTAGCAAAATATTTGAATCAGGTTGTTAATTTGGGTAACCCAGTTAGCATAGATTTTTTTTAATGACATATCTAAGGATATGTAACAGTCAAAATTCTGCCAACGAGAAATTTTCCTGTTTGATATTATTACAGAAGATGTTTATGTCCACCGTTATTTTCATCAGGGCTGTGCTGAATATTTGCTAATGAGACTGATCATTCCTCATTTCCATTCTTAAAAATTTTTCTTAAATTAGAGTTAAGCAAATTTATTATAGCTATCTTTAAGCTATAAATATGTTAACACTTATGTACCATTTATTACGTTCTACTTTAGTGGTACACCTTAATTTAGTGATTTTTTTGAGGGGGGAGAAGTTTATTAATCTTTGAGGAAGACAAAACCTGTTTGTTTTCTACTTGAGTCTAACATATGGTCCCAATTTATTAATACTTCTGTTAAATTTGATGTTAGGTCAACATTTTTCAAAACTGTATTTATTCTCAGAAAAAGAACCAGAGAGAAGATTTTTTTAAAAAGGATATGTAACTGTTCTTTTAATGTTGTAATTGAAAACTTGGTTTAATATCTTTTTCTTTATTTCTCTTTATTGCTTAAAATGCAAATGAAAATAACTTAATTAGAAAGTAGCTTATTTATTGCATGCTTATATATTGATACTGGAATTGGAATTGGTTGTTAATTTCTGTTACTGGCTTTGCTAGAATTCATATGTGCATAAATAACACTAGTATTTGTCATCTTGGGGGCTGTTCTGTGATCTATTACATGATTTCTGTTCTCTCTTAATTTTCCTAATATCAAATGTGTTCTGGCTGAGTGAATTTGGATAGATATAATATGCAAGCTAATTGGACTTTTTCATTTTTCTCATTAAAAAAAGAAGAAATAGTCCGCTTTTTGCTAGCATAATATTCTAATACTTACATTAATTTGGGAAAAGTCAAGGGTCAACAAATTTTTTTGTCTGTGAGCGGCCAGATAGGAATTATTTAGGGTTTGCAGGCTGTGTGGTTTCCGTTGCATTTATTCAGCTTTTCCAATGTAGTGTGAAAGCAATCATAGATAATATGTAAAACTTTATGAATAAAAACAAGCTGGGTTATTTTGGCACACTGGCAGTAGTTTGTTCACCTCTGCTATCAGTCAATTCAGGTTAACCTTTGTAGGAGAAATTACAGATGATTTTTGTCTTTGTTGATAGTTTTTTGTTTGGGGACTATAGTGGATTATGGCCAAGCAGCAGTAGTTAAGTCTTAATCATGAAGGTAGTAGAAACCTAGAATTACACTTTATTTTATACCCTTTTCTCTCATTTCATAGTATGTTTGTGTTGCCATGTTGAAAAAAACAAAATATAATCTAATTTAGTGGTGAGCACCCATTGTTTTCCCAAAAATAGAGCTCCTTGCTCTGTTTTTTTTTTTTTCCTTATGTAATGGAATTGGATATAAAGAGTTTATTACGAACCCCATGGACTGTGATTAAATTATTAGCATAATAAAAAGACATTCTATGAATTTGACTTCATTTACAAGATGATTTCTTGAATTGTACCCCAGGCTGAATAACAGTGGAAAATACAGTTTATATATAATATACAACTCACAAACCCAAATGATCTTGTTATAGTAATACTTAATCATTTTGTAAATGATACTAATCTTCAGCTTTGCTGAAATTAGCTGTGTAGCTAGACTACTTTGAGTGAACATAAGCAATTTGTTCTTATATGAAATTATTTTCAAGTTGTCCTATTGTACTTAAAATACATACCAGTTATTGTGACCATCCAGACCAGGATATATGTAAATGCAGATATCCATAGTGCAGACATGAAAAAGGTTATCACAAAGTAGTTTTTCCAAAACTTTCTTCTACAATCTGGTGTGGTTAGAAAAAGTAATGTGATAATAGGAAGGGATAATACCCAGAAAATTCTTTTTAAGTCTGCTTCAGGCATGTTGAAAACACTTGGTTGATCTGTTGTGAAAAAATTAAACACTTTTGAGTTTTCTCAGTTGCTAATTAAGTTAGAAATGTCTACTTAGAATGCTATATTGAAATAAATTGGCTGTGTCAGTTTTTAAAAGGCTGTTTAAAACATTTGAGTACCTCATTACTGACATTGCTGGTGAAAAGAAACTAATTGAAACTTTAGGGCAGACAGTATAAGATGTGATACTCAGCATTTCTTTATTTGGGGCCTTAAATTTATCAAAATGTCTTGGGCCATTCCCTAAATATATTACAGATAGTGTTTATGAAGTGTCAATTGGACATCTCATGTAGATTGTCTTCGGTAACTTTTTGCTTAGGGGATTAACCTGGCCTCTAACCTGGCTACTCCAGTTGTCTCCACTTCACAATACTGATGATGCCTCTGCCTGCCCTATGTATCAGATAATGTGTACTTAGAGAATATAACATAATTATAGCATCATCTTTTTTATTAAGTTGCACATCCTAATTCTTACTGGAAGTGGTTTTTCTGTCCTGTTTCATTACTATTTTATTTATTCAGACTTTTCCAAAGTTCATAGAACCTTAAAGTAGGAGCTAGTATATCATCTACAATGTAACTTATGAAAATTGAGTATATTTCTTAATTTAGTGAAAGACAAGGATAATGATAATATATTGGATAAAAATGGGAATTTAAAATTGTTAAAAAAAATAAAATAAAATTGTTTAAAATTTGTATGGCATTTACAAATTGGATGAAATCATGTTAAAACTAATGCTAGTACAGTAACTCTTAAAAAGCTTGCCAAACTTCAACCAATGTGCCATTAAGTAATATTAGATATAATTTTAACATATCAAAGAGTTTGGATTGGTTCCTTTGCGTTTCTTATTAAAAACTTAATTTAGAGATGCACACATGTTATACCTGAAAGAGCAGAAGCTAAAATTTTTATAAGAAGGGGGAAAAGTCATTTCAATTTTTTAAGTAGTAAATTAGAATAAGCCACCCTCCTAAAGGCTTGATTAAAATTAGAATCTGTTTTAGACAACCACTTTATAAAATAGTAACCTATGAACTTATAATTCTGATCATAGCTGAATTTGACTTCCTAATGAACATATTTACCTAAATGTTTTGCTACAGCTTTAAACAGTAAACCTCAACTGTTTTTCTTCATTCTTCCAAACCAGCCCCTTTTCCTGAGTTCCCAGTTTTAATAAGCGGTGTTCTCATTTTCTTAGTCAAGATTCGAATGTAGGAGCTATCTTGGTTCCTTTTTCTGGACCCATATAGTCTCAGTTGCTAAGTCTTGGTAAAGCTTCCTTCATATAGTCTCACATCTGTTCTCTTTTATTCCTACCACTTTCACTTGGTCTAGGCACCTAGTAAACATATCAACTGTTGTAATAGCCTCTTACACACCTCCTTGTCTCTTACTTCATATTTTAGTTCACTGAATATGAACATAACTCAGGGTAACATTACTAAGATAACAGTTCTGTTAATTTCTTTCCTCACAAACCTTCCAAGATTCTTACAATAGCATTTAAGATTCTTCTCATCCTATGTCTTTCTTTCTACCTTCCCTCTGTTTCCTTACTATACATATACTGTGCTATATGTGCTTTACTCTTATCTCTGCATCAGTAGCTGTTATTTACTGGTCGTAACATCATGTCATTAGTCAAAATCTTACTGGTCCAGCAAGGCCCAATTTAAATGCCCCCTTCTCTGTGAAAATTTCCTAACTGTCCTCACCACATTTTGATAATCTGTCCCATTTGTGAACCACAGTCACACTTTATTTTTTTATGCTACTTACACGTTCGTATTTTAACTATTTTGTATTTCCTATGATTTTGGAAGTTCCTTAAGAGTAGCGACTTAGTCTTTATCATTTCTGAGTCTTCACAGTCTTACATAATACCTGCTGAATTGAAATTTTAAAGTGCTGCTTTTGTGAATAGTCTTAATAATGGGCAGGATTTAGTGATTACCTTCAGAAACTTGACTAAGACCATGTAAACTTATAGAGAGCTGAGAGTAGCCAGAGTCTTCATAAAATATTCCACTATCAGTTCTTGATTGCCAACGAATGAATGGTTGACTTTCATCTTCCCATCC